GTTATAATCTTATCTTATCTATTCAATGGAAAGTTCTTTATTATAGTTGTATGAAAAAAAATCTGTAGCGGCATTGCATCCTCTCACTACATGTCATTGTATAATGTTATGTAAATTCCAGTCTAATAAATTTTTATATTCTTTTATTTTTTATTATTTCTTTTATTTTCTGTATTAACAATTGCTTTTTAGCTTTTTTTTTTTTTTTATTGTTGATCGTTATCATCGTAGTAAACCAGGTCTTTACTTTCAATTATATCTCTTCAGATAAAGAGAAGACATCATTGGGCAAGCTTTCTTCAGAGGTTAAAGGTTAGAAATAATTGCCATTCAAACTTGCCTTAATAAGGCAGGACTCTTTTTGCCAAATTCTTTTTGTTGTTTTAAATTCTGTTGCATTGCTCTCCACTATATTGTATAAAATGTCCTACAGAATATTCTTTTTTATGTTCAGCATCTGATGGTGATATGCCATTATTAATCGTCATTTTTTGATATTTTCAAAATGAATGCTTTATTATCTTGAGCTATCATCTTGAGCTTGTATAATATTTTTTAACAAATCATTCAAACTTAAAATTAAAGGCCCTCTCCCACCTAAGCCTCTCTCCCACTAGGGGTTTTTTTCAGCATACGATTTACAAAAGAATGCCGAGTTGCTAACTCGGCAAGAACTCGTAGGACGATTCGGAAAGCTCGGAGAAGACTCTTACCTACTCGTAGCAGCTCTGAACTCGTGGCGCTAATTTTGAACATGTTCAAAATTATCACCACGAGTAGATAACTCGTAGTAAACTCGAAGAACTCATAGGAAGCTCGTAGAGTACTCGGGGTACTCCTACCTAGCTCATACACTACTCTGGATACGCGTCAGCGGTTTTGTCATCTACGAAATTGATGCGAGCACCCAAAAACGAGTACGAGTAAGTACGAGTGCACCGAGTTGTCTCGTACCTAACTCGTATCTAATTCGGTACAAACTTGTTACGCTCGTAATAATCTCGTAGTTAACTCGGTGCTCTGCTCGGCATAATTCGTACATAACTTGTAACCAACTCCATAAAGTCGTACCTCACTCGTAGCTAACACGTAATAAGCTCGAATAGGTCCTTTCCAAAGATCACGAGTTTTAACTCGTAGAAATCTTACGACTCTTAGGTGAAATAAACCTAGGTGGGAGAGGGGTTATTTGATTTCATCCAAGAGTCGCACGAGTTCTCCGAGCGGAACTCGTCATACTTACGAGTTACCTATGAGTTTACTACGAGTTGGCAACTCGTAGCACTAATTTTAACATGTTCAAAAGCCACGAGTTCAGAGCTGCTACGAGTAGGTACGGGTTGGCCACAAGCTTCCCGAATCGTCCTACAAGTTTTAGCAACTCGGCAAACTCTTCTACCGCATATGCTGAAAAACCCTAATGAGAGAGGGGCTTAACATATTAAATAACTTACCAAAACACCATTTACTAAATACAAGTAAATTTTAAAGTGAATGCCCAATAAAATTTGTAAAGTTAGTGAACACATTAAACATGCCAATCTCCCAAATACACTACCCCTAGATATAGCTAGTATGATGCTACATCCTGGTACCTTGTAAAACTTCTTTATCTGAGCAACAGTGACGTATCTAGGGGGTGCGCAGAAATTTACCGACAAGGGATCCGAGATTCCGGATGGAGGGGTACGAACGAAGGAGCCGACATGAGCTTTGGTTGACGGCCCGGAATGAACAATTCCTTGTAGAGTTTACATGACGGGTTTTTATAGCTTAGTATGGTCCAGGTGCTTTTATACCACAATATTAGGGATTAACAATCAAATAATGTTATTTGAATAGGCCACTACTGATCTGGCCCTTTTATTTAGTCAAGTGCATGCAGTATGAAGACCATAAAAATCTGCAGTAGGCATACCAACGATGAAACAAGGGGGTCGTCTTATACATCAGACATATAAAAATCGTCCAAAATCTTCCTAACCTCAATCGGAATCGTATTAAATGCGGGTCACATTATATGCGAATACACTCTACGTATACGTATTCAGTTTTAAGATAAAATTAACGCAATTACAAAGAATAACAAATTGTTTATCATTTAAATAATTTTTCATGTTTTGCAGAAACATATTCAGAAACACGAGATACAATTGGTTTAGAGATATCTCCAAGTAGGTCTCAAGGTAGGTGCAGATGTGTTTAGTGTATTGTAATTTCCTTGTAGAGGCTAATCAAGTTAATTCAATGTGTAGTGAAAATATAAATTTTACAATATTGAATTGATTTCTATGTCTATAAATAAACTAACATCTTTTAAAGAAAACATTAAAATAAACAGGTAAACATCTAAGCCCAACATTTCAGTAATGTAGAACTGGTAATTCAATTGTATATATCTCCAGTAAACAAAGTCTAAATCAGTAAAGTTTCTTATCTGTTTAATTCAACAAATTTTAGAAATATATTTCTTTATGAATTATTGTGGTCTAGTAATTTGTTAAACCAAAAAAAAAAAAAATGAATACATTATTTGGCTTAAAAATTATTTTTCTAACACCACAATTTTCATAACTTAAGCTACATTAACTTTGCAGAGTTAAAATTAGCCTTGACTGTTCGAAATCTGGGTTTTACATTAAACTGTTTGCTTACATTACATACAAAAAATTTTAAAAGTTCTTCTGTTTGTGTTTTTACTCCACAACACACCATATCAGTCCTGTTAGGCAAAATTTTTTAAAGAGTTGTTTTCGAGTTGTTTTAGTCGTCAGAAAAAGTCCTGCTGTCACAGGAATTGAACCAAGGTCCCTGGGATTACTCCACTCCAACCTGCTATTTCTCATTCCCTCATTTTATGAAAGGCTGAATACAGAATGAATAAATGAATGCTACTATGGAAAATAAGAAAATTCTGAAAATATCAGTTTTTCTTATTTTTATCCTTTACACTACTACTATAATATCTCAATTCCAAACATCAATTAACACCACATCTCGTTATTTAAACAACGTATTTTGATCTTGAGCAGGGCAAGGGTCGAAGGACACTCAATTACACTTTATATGAAGCGCTCAGACTTTTGTTGTACACTTCTATGAAATTTTATTTTTATTTTTACATCTGATTGGTAGAATTATTTTGCTAAATAAATAAAAAAATGAATTTTTTCCCACCCTTTAAAAAAATGGCCTTTTGTGAAATGCACTTTTTCTAAGTGAATTCCCATTTTTCTTATACAACAACATTCCACACAACAACACATCTAATTCAGATGATGACATGTGACAATAAGTTTTAATGTTATGTTTGTTGGTTCATATACAATTTTTATTATGAAATTATTTGATTGTAATTTCCTTGATATTTCCATAATTTTTACTAGTATAGTATGTGAGGTATATAACTGTAGAATATATATTTTTAGACTACATCATAATTACAAATACATTCTATTAAAGCAATGTGCTTTAATATAATGGATTAGTATATGTATTTAAGTCAAATTATTCTTTTTCATACAGAATAGTAATTCTCCTTCCAGAAAAATTAAACTTAAAAAAAAATATAATATAATTTTATAGGTCTTTGTAGTTATGTATGAATAGGTGTATAGTATGTTTGATATACTGTATTTAGTTTTGAAAAAATATGTTTGTACATATTTTAGATTTGCCTGAGCATCTCGAAGATGTAGAGGAAAATAAAGATGTACGTCACAAAAAGAAACGTGTTGAAATGTCAACAAGTTTAAGAACACAAGAGAAAGACCAGAAGAAGGAAATAGAGAAGATGAATAGAGAGCTAACACTTCCAGATGGCTTTGTTGAAAGTGTACTTAAATATTCGTCAAAAATGAAACAAGACAGAGGGAATGAACTGTCTGTAAAGATATATGACTTTGCAGGCCAGAAGGTGTATGCTTCAACGCATCAGGTATTCACAGTACAATGACTGGTTGAAGATTAACAAGCCCTGATGGCAGGTCTATTTTCAATGCAGCTGCAGAAAAATCTCAAAAATGCAATAGACAAATTACAATAAATAAATTGAAAAATACTAAATATCATGAATGCATTAAATAGTTTAGTCTACAATCAATAAACAGTTCCATAAAGTACTACTAGTAGTATAGTTAATGATACTAATAATTGACATGTTTCAGCGTATCGCACATTATCATCAGACATTCTGAATTAGATGTGTTTTTGCAATAACCGTATTACAGAGGTTTGAAGGTGTTGACAATTTATCTTAAAATTGTTCTAAATATTTTTTTTTAATTGCCTTCACATCCAACAGCAAGTAGGCCTACACTTGCCACTTACAGGATGGAATGATGCTTAAATTGCAGGATATGCTAGGTATATCGAGGATGTGTAAGGGGCGCACACGTTCCCCCCCCCCACCCGAAAAAATACTCATCCATCCCCAGTTGCGCCCCACCCACAAAGCAGCTCATGTAGTTAAAAATCGCCTCAAATCACCTTATTTCGCGAGTTACCCCTCACATAGTCACTGATCCTTACTTTACTTTTCCACCCCTATCAGTTCCCTTCCATTTCAAAACCCCTATGCCACTGATGCTAGGGCCTGCTAGTAGGAAAAAGTTCGTAAGCCTAATACTATACAGAATCGGATTGTAAAAATACAAATATGTTATTTTTAAAAGCTCATGGTTGTAGTATTTTCTCTTCAAAAGAATTCCTATTCCTGTATTTTAACAAATTTCAAATCAAAAAATAATAATTCAAAGTTTCTTCTATACCGGTCATATGTATGCAAATTTATTTAACTTTAATCATTGAGGCCTATTGATAGAATACCCGATCGGCAGTGGAGGTTCCGATTTGTGAGAAGAGCATGCGCACATACTCTTGGAAGCACCGCTTCCATTCTAGGGTAGGGCACGAGTACCACTCTCTCAATGTGGCATGAGTACGGGCTACTTATGCATAGTTACCAACCTGAGAGATTTTAAAATAATGCGTGACTACACTAGTTGGCTAGTGGGGGACCGGGGTGGGGGCCATTGAATGCGTGATTGGGTGATATTGAAAACCAGTCATGCGGAAATTCCAAGCAGCTGAGAGTATGATGCGATAGGCCCGACTGTGACTTATCCTAGATACCAAAGTAGGCCAACATTGAAAAAATTCGCTATTCCAATGCACTGTAGCAATCCACTCGAAAAATTAAGGTACCGGTATATGTAGAAGTTTCTGACTAAGAATTGCTAAATAAAACGTAGAAACTTTACTACTATATTAAAAAAAAAAATGTTTTAGCTAGGGTATTCACTACATACCTTACTTGCCTTGACGGTCTGCCACTGTTTACAATTAAGTTTAACAATAATAGTTGAGCAGTATTTGTTACTTTGGAGTTGAGTTTTCGTTTGCAATGTTTGGATAATGGTGTATGTGGTAACTTGAAATAAGAAAGTAGCATTATAGGAGGATCCTAAACGGCAGGTGATAATTCTTTGTTTAGAAAATAATGATAACAATTTTTTTGAAAAATAAGTATAAGTTTTATTAAATTGTTATGAAAGTATCCATGTGTTTATAAAAGTATGATCAGTCACGGTACAAGTCCAAGTTTTTATGTGTGATGTAAAGCTGTGGAAACTTGTTATCATAATAATAAATATAATGTGTTATGATGGGCTGGGGTTAATAATGAGTTATGATCAGTTATCTAAAAGAATGTCAAGGAAGAGTGTTTTTTTGTTGAACTCCTTTTCTATAGTGAATCTAATTGATGGGTTTTAGAAATCTAAAAAAATGTTCATGTTTGATTGAACATTTAAAAAAATATTTTGTTATGATTATTTGCGTGGGGTGTAACTTATTAAAAAAAAACCAAACCCAATAGACACCTAGATACACGAGAGCATTTGGTTCAAGGTACCGTAAGTCCTCACACATTTTGGCACACCTTCAAAAATCAGTTACAGTACTTATAATAACTTATAATTAAAGAAGCCCTTTACATTGCTTCACACAACTCATTAAAATACCACTCTTTCATTCAAATTCATATATACATGACTTTTACTGCATAATCACTATTCAGCTTTAATAACATGACTTACCTTAGCATTTGTTTGTTGCCATACATCTGAACGGTAGTAGATAAACCCGTAGTAGCATAAGCATTGCCTGATGGTGATGTCGTTTATTTGTAAAGTTTCATTTATTTTATTAGATGCATTACTGCATTGGTATTAATTAACTCCAGTGAAATATAATATTTTACATCAGAGCATAAGTAGAAATATAACTAAAAATATACAATAATTTATACAAATCAGCAAAATGTTGGTACTAAATGAGTGAAATATTGGCCTTAGCTTTATCCAGCAAACCCGTTCCGTATTAAGCAAACTGAGCTGTCTGAATTGTATAATTAATATTACTATTAATACATATATTATTATATACTACTATTATACTATTATATTATTATATATTACTATGGTTTACGATTGTCATTGTTGGTTTATTGCATTTTCAATTAGATAATAATTCAAAGAGAATTTGTATTGCATATTTTATAACTATTTAATGTTTTCATTAATACCTTTACAGGTGTTTTTAGCATCAAGAGCTGTTTATATTCTTGCATTCAATCTTTTGGATGACTTGGACTCAAATCTTAAACACGAGCATGTCCATTACAACTATCTGGTAACGTAATTACATTTTAATATAATATACTAGATTCAAATTGTGTAAATAATACTAAAACAAGGTTTGAATAGAGAATGAGGCAACTATACAACTATAGTGTGACATTTGTCTTAGTTCCATTTTCTAAAATAATTAATTTTCATTTTATTTAAATGCTGAGTAACCCAGCCATTTTTTAAAATGTTCTGTTATTTTTTTAAAACTAAATTAGACTCTGTTGAATTGGATAATAAATCCATTCAAGAAAGTAAAGCTTAAAGAGACAAATCTTGAACGGCTTCATTTTTGGCTGCAGTCAATACATGCAAATGGAAAAGTAAGTGGACAAGCAGCAGATCAACAGCAACTGTCACCACCTATATTCATTGTTGGAACACACATGAATAAATTATCTGGAAACAAAACAAAAAGAGAACAGAAGGTTGGTTTTTGTTTATATTATGCATAAACTGCTGAAATTCAGTGAAATAGAGGGGCATTTGTGTAGGATGCTAGCCTCCGGATCCTGGGGTCTTGTGTTCAATTCTTGTGACAGCAGGGTTTTTTTCTCATGACAGATCCACCCCACTGCCTAAGATAAGACATTTTGTTTTTATAAAGCATCGTTCCATCTTCTATTGGGTGAGTTTCTTGATGTTGGATGCGAATGATTTATATTTATGTAAAAATTACATTTTAAATACATATTAAAATATATGTTAATGATATTTCTATTAAAAATATAGTTATGACAATTAAAACTAATACATTACTGATAGATCATTTTCAGTGTTTTGATTATGTTAGTGGTCACACCTGAGGCAACACTCTAGTGGTGCATTAAACAATGAAGTTGTAAAAATTATTAATACAACGATTTTTAAAGCCCAGCGCCAGGCTCCGCATTCTTACATGTTATATCATCCATGTAGCTTCCATAATTTTGTACAACCAAAAAGATAAACAGTATGCCGTTCCTGTATATTAAAACAGTACCGCTGGAGTCTATTTAACAGCGAATTTAATTCAGGCACAAACAGAGGATACCACTAACTTGTTTGTTTTTAAGGGTTTTTTTTATTGTAGTACCATGGAAGTAGTACATTCATGTATCTACCTGTATTAACTTCTATAATGTGTTTACCAAAGTGGCGCACTGGGAGAAAACACGAAAATTTTTAAATCACGGGTAAGGCAGTCTTTGAAAAAATAGCTATCAAGTTAGAGAGCAGCTTAGCTCAGTCGGCTAATCTAGTGGTAGCCACTGTTTGTGCCCTGAACCGTAAAGATCTCTAGGTCTCTGAGTGAGCGGAGTAAATTTTGGAATATCTACTAGTGGTTTTTTAAAGTTTAAGTTCCGTTTGAAATTACAAATACAGCAAGAATCATGGGTATCACAGCAAAAACATTGAGAAGCGGCCATGATTGCTATGTATAAAGATAGGAAATTAGCGCCCTCAACGGTTTATTATGATTTTATACCCAATACGATTGTCGACGCCTGTTCGCCATTTCCTTGTATGATTTCGCCGAACCTATTTCAGATAAGAATATCAAAAGCTCATAACTTAAAAACCACTTTGAAATTAATGCTGCAATTTTGGATTCTTTCTTTTGACATACAGAACTATAGTATTTTAGATTTTTTTAATGGAAAACCAAAGGGGATGCAGTCACAAAGGAGCTTTGAAAATCCTTGTTGATTTGAGCTGGAATGACCCAGTAGCTTAATCTTTAGTATGTTTTCAATTTTTTTAGCTTAAAGAGATTGAGGAGAAGATATTTTCGTCATTGAAAGATACTCCTTATGAACGTCATGTTGTTACAAAACTGTTTGCCGTTGAAAACAGCTTAGATGAAGACAATGGAATTTCAGAACTTAGAAGTCACTTGGAAAAGGTTTGCCTTGGTGAGCCCTACATGGATTTTCTTACCCCAGTAACCTGGCTGAAATTGCTTGCAGATCTAGAGGAGAAACGAAATGAAGGAAAGCATTGTCTTAAGCTAGAAGAGGTGGATAAAATTTTATTGTGTAATTATAGTTTAGTGCAGAGGTGGCCAAAGGGCAGCCCGCCGGTAATATTTTGCGGCCCGCGAAAATTAATTGCAAACTCTATGTGTGCGGCCCGCCAAACATCTTTGGCTAGAAAACACCTTGTCTTTTGCGGCCTGGCACCGATCACCTGTAAACACTAGTAGGAAGGTTTTTGGAAGTCCACGGAAACATAAAAGTTTGGGTGCGGCCCTCTGAGTTGAATCAAAAATTCACTTTGGCCGTCCGACCAATTTTTATCCCCACCCTTGGTTTAGAGCTCTTACACCTGTCTCTTATACACATCTGTGATTTTTTCCCCTAAATTATTAATTGAATGTTTTTTATTTCTATTGGATATGAAATTAAAACATAAAGATGAAATTAATGAATTATGTTAATAATTGTTAAGCTATGAAATATCTACTGTATAAATATAATAAACATAACAATATTGTTTAAGGTCAAGGCTTTGGCTGAGGAATGCAAAATCAAGGGAAGTGTCCACATTGTTTTGAACTTCTTTCAAGATATCGGAGAGGTTGTTTATTTTGGGAGAGAGGAAGATCCTGACGGAAACCTTTTGAAAGAAAATATCATTCTGGATCCACAGTGGCTGGTTGACTTGTTTAGAACTATCATAACACACATCAATTTTGATGAGCAAGTAAGTTTAATTAAGTTTATTAAATAAATATGTCCAATTCATCTGAAACTTTGCCATAGCGAATGCATAACGTATACATAGTATTTGTCAAATACTCAGAGTATACCGACCAAAATAACTTTCACAAGGCGTCCATCTAACGTCCTTGACGCTGTCTGCCGTTATAGTAGCATACGTGCACAGTACAGCAACAGTACACATAGCGTTTTTCCGTCTGTGACATCACAGCGATTGCGAGTACCCCTTTCTTCATTTCTACCCAGATCAGAGAATTTGAGCGTATCTGGACTTCGGAGAAAAGAATAGTACACTCTGCGTATTAAGCCGCAATCGCACTGGATTTAAAATAGGGAAATTTTTACCGAGACTGTGGGTAACATTCCAATGGGTAAACTTCCTGTCGTTCGCACTGGGATTTATCGACGTGGTTAGTTTTACCACAGGCCATGGTGAAACTAACCATTCGTACAGATTCAACTATTGGGGGCGCTAAATCGTGACGTTCACTTCCGGTATGTGTGGCAAAACAATTAACGAAAGCGACGTTCTCCTTCTTGTTGTGACAGTGTTTCTTTGGACTAGGCCCACATCATGTTGTATTTGTTGATAATCGGGATGGATTGTCTCACCAAGACCTAGCACATTTATTAATGCTCCATATAAATCGGCCATTGAAACAAACCGAGTAAACAAGTTAAAAAAATGACAAAATTACTCAAAATCAAGACACTAGCAAACACGCGCGAAATTAATCAAGATGTTTGTGTGTGACGTTTTATTCCAGGTCACAGCTCATGCGTAATTGCCTGACAGCCTGAGGAAGGTCATTCACTGTGATGACTTGGGAAGTTTACCCGACTCGCGCTGTTCGCATTGGATTTTCCTGCTAGGTAAAACTAACCTTGCTCAGTTTTCCTGGGCAAGCGGGACTCGGTTAAATTAACCGCGCGGCTTTCCTGTCAGGTAAACTTCCTGTGCTCTTCGCACTGGACTAATTATGGTAAAACTAGCCAACGTGTTGGTTAGTTTTACCAAAAAAAGTCCAGTGCGATTGTGGCTTTAGTTAGCTCTTTCGCTACTATCTGACAAGGCCATTAAAAAGAAATCCTCTTAAAAATGTGTGTGTGTTGAATATAGTGGAGTGCCTTAGCGCCAGGATCGTTACATGGATGACAAAAGTGCCAAATTTGGTACAGATATTAGTATGGGCATACAGTTTTGAAAAATCTCTGGAGGTAAAAAAAAAATCTTATTTTTGGGGTAAAAAAAAAATCGCATTTTTGTGAAAAAACATGGTTTTCAATATTTTGGTATTTTTGACTATTGTAGGTTTATTATTATATAGGTTTAAAATCAATGTGATCATTATGTTGTCAGAAATAAGCAAATAAAGGAGAAAAAAGTATAAAGAAAATAAAAGATTTTTTTGAAAAATGACGACAAAAGTGCCAAATTAATTAAATTTTTGGGGTAAAATTTTTTTTAATATATCGGTATTTTTGACTATTATAGTACAAAGGTCTACTTTTACAAACAGGTATATAAATATATTGTCATTCATTTGTCACAAATAAGCAAATAAGAATGAAAACATTAAGATGCGAGTTGGTTGGCCGAGCGGTTAAGTCAGGGGCGCCGTAACCTTTAGCAGTAGTATCGGCGTTGATTCAAACGGCTCACTCGCCGGGGTCCGACGTTGGGGAGGGGGAAATATCCCTGATGTATTATGTTGATTTTATATATCTTAGTAGTTCGAGGAACTAAAAATAATATCACTATAAATACCTTCAATGGCACAATAATTATAATTATATTTGTCAACTGATTGGTGAACACATGGGTGGATGCGCAAGGTCCTTGTTATTCTGAGAGAACACCTCTCGGTGGACCTTAATTATTGATACTGATGTAGGCCTACTGGTCCTGTCATATTAAAGAATAGTGAGTCGCTAAAATGTCAGGAGACGGGAGTCGAATTGCTTATATAGATGTTCGCTTATGGAAAGAAATGCCTCCGTTGATGCGGGGGGTGGTGGGGAATAGAATTTTCTGGCTTGCCAATTACTCTTCCTTTTCCAATAAATGTGGTATACCACGCTCTGTAAAATTAAGGGAAATGGGTAGGGCACTGGGACATACAGTACTTTCCTCAAGATATTTGCACAAATTATTGATGCTATAGTAACTGAAGTGATGTGATATCGGTACTGCATAGGTATACAGATGTAAAAGGACATAAAACATTTCTCCAGAGGTCCCCCACAACACCCAATGAATAAAAATTTTAATAGAATATTTACAAATTATTGGTTTCAGAAATCCATTATACTGTATAGCTCTTAAAACTCTATTGTTGTGCACAAACCCCCAATGCTAGACCCTCAAATTTCTAAAGGTTCACTTTTTAAAACCCATTTCACTATCGTTCCTAACTATTGCCAAATGCTGTAGTATGCATTTCATTTGCCATCTCTTCTAACTGTTAATATTTAATAACTGTGGTACAAATTTGTTATTTTGCAGATTTATCCATATTAACAATGTTACTTCTAGGCATACAGATGTACAGGTGTCAGGACATGAAGCGTTACTCCTTCTGGTCAAAACTCTAAAATTGCCAATATTGGAATTAAAAAAAAACACAAAAAACGTTAAGATTCTGATATGTTTTTGACTAGTAAGGTAATATATTGGTTAAAATGTATTTTTACATACCAAAGAACTGCAATTATAGTTTTATATACAGTAGACAAATGTCAATTTTTTACCAATGCCTTTATAAGATTCTGATATATTATTGACCATCGAGGTATAATACTGTATTGGTTAAAATGTATTTTTTTACACATCAGTATAAATGTCAAAAAATCTATTTAGTACCAAAAATCGTCGTTTAAACTAAAAAATAGGAACAATTGGGATTCTTTAAGACTGTTATGTCAGATTCTGACACATTATTGATCAATGAAGTATGATATCGGTTAAAATATATTTTTACATGCAGAGCATATTAGTTATAATTTAAATGTCAAAAAATATGTAATATAGATTATATATATATAATTATATTATATTATATATATTATTAAAATTAATAAAAATCATATTTTTAGCCTAAAAAATAACCAAAAATTAGGGTTTTTTTAAAAACCCTTATGTCAGGGTTTCTTTTAATTAGGAAATATTGTTACATGCAAAGCATATCAGGATAGTTTAAATGTCCAAAAAAAAAAAATTACATTTAAAAAAAATATATATATTTTTAGCCCAAAAAGTGTCAAAAATTGATTATTTTTGTTTGGTTTCAGAGATTTTCTTGAAAAGCATATTTTCATTCATTTCATTCATTCATTCATGAATTTTATTCAATATAATATTCAATATAAAAAATTCAAGCAAAAAAGTCAAAATTAAGATTATATCATAAAAACTACAAAATTACCATAAAAAAAATAAATGAGTAAGTGAATAAATAAATAACGGCGGAAGAAAAGGCAGTATAATGTATTGTAGACGAATCTAAATTACACATTATTTACATTGCCCTGGTGGGAGTAATTAAAACAGTACATTAAAAAGCGAAAATACACGATTACAGGTAAAAACGAGTAAAAAGAAATGTAAACTAAATTGATCACATCAACATTAAATCAAATTTAAACATGGATATATCAAAACAGTAGATTACATTAAATCAAATTACAGGACAGAAACTCAAATGATCACATCAACACCAAGTCTTATTCCGATATCCTTCAACCAGTGGTGGACATAAAATTTGATTGGATCATTATTGATCAAAATTTAGAAATGTATAAATAGTGAACATAGTAATTACTTTGTTCAAAGTAAGGTATCGGGCTTCTTCGGAATTAACCTATCTGTTTTCGAGCATAAAATGGAGTGATCCTTTGAAAAAACTATTTTATTCTTATATGCTTATTTTGAAAAAATAATGACCATATAGATTCTAAGCCTGTTTGTACAAGTTGGCATTGTACTATAATAGTAAAAAATGCTAAAATATTAAAAACCATATTTTCTCAAAAAATTTAATTTTTACACCAAAAATTAAATTTTTTGCCCCAAAAATTTCTTTTTTGGCTTCAGAGATTTTTCGAAATTGTATGCCCATACTAATATCTGTACCAAATTTTGTTATCCAGGTAATCCAATTATTAGTCTATGCACAAGGTTAAAATCTAGATTAATACAAAAACGATTTTTTCGTTCAAAAAATCTTTCACTTTCTTTATATTTTTTTTATCTTTATTTGCTTATTTCTGACTAAATAACGATCATATTGATTCTAAACCTATTTGTATAGGTAGGGCTTACACTATAGCAGTCAAAAATACCACAATATTGAAAACTGTATTTTTACTGTAAAACGCGATTTTTTACCCTAAAAATAAGATTTTATTTTTGGCTCCAGAGATTTTCTTGAAAAGCATGTTGATAAAGGTATCTCTACCAAAAATTAAAGTTTTGTCATCCGTGTAACGATTCTTCCATATTTTGACTTTAAGGCACTCTACTAATATAAGGTCAGAGTAACAATAAATACAAACATTTCTAATATGCCAATTTTAAATACAGGTCTTCCTCCAGTGAACACCCCTCCAATGATTGGGGGGGGGGGCAGTGTGGCATTTGCGAGCAGTAAGGCAGGGGCGCTGCCAACTACAGCCTTAACATCGGCGCCGGTTCCAGCCGTTCCTCGCCCATGTTTGGGTTGGTAGAACCAAGTCTTCTCGGATAAGGACTTAAAATGGAGCTTGTGTGCACTTTAAAGAACCCATTGCATCTTTCGAAAGAGTAGGGTTTACCCCGATGTTATTTTTCATTTCATTTTTCATTTCATGTGGAATGATGTGAACATGTATCTACCATCAAACGCCTATTTACGGCTGCTAGGTAATCACGAACCACGCCTATATGCAATTCAGCACAACGACGCTTCAAGTTATGGGATTCTCCTACCTACCTTAACCTTTTCA